AGCAAAAATGTCAAAGAGAGGCAACAGACCAGAGAACAGCGAATACTGCAATGCGCTCTCATTTTCAAAGTTTAAAGGGTGATGCTGGAAAAGTTAAGATGAAAAACAAAACTGCACTAAAATGACAAACACGGAGAATAATTATTAAGTAGCCTATGTGCTGATAATGAGCACTTAAAACTTTGATAACAAAAGTTCAGTTTCAGCAGCCAAAACAGCAAGTTTGTCTCCAGTGTGTCGAAACATGGAAAATCAACTAAAATACCAGATAATACATTTTTTTTAATGCATCTAAAATTGCACTAACAGGATTTTTAATTGTAATTTACTTTTAAATGTAGATTTCGTGACCAGAATTAATCTAAAAGACAATTATTACCAGTTTGGCTGATTAAAAGACATCAACTCGTATTTTAAATTCTTGTAGCTTTGTAATAATATGGTAGTTATTTTTAGGTTATACTAAATTAAATTCAGATGAAATGAAAGCAGTAGTTGTAGATGAACACAAACTCCATGACATAATTTTGCAGTCCAAAGTAAGTTAAATAGTCTGTTTACCTTAACCACCAAATTATTACCAGTTTGGCTGATTAAGGGTTGCAGTATGTGGCTTTAAATTTGAGTGAAAAGCAGGTGTGTGTGTGTGTGTGTGTGTGTGTGTGTGAGAAGGTGCACACACACTGTCACTCAGTCAGTCACAGCTACAGATAAACACAGCCATAGAGGGCAGTGATGATGACTGACAGGCAGAGGATAGTGTCAGTCATCCCACGCTGTCATTGTGCTGCCTGGCACCTTGCTGATGCGGTAGATACAGAGCGATCAAAGGAAGAGGAGTGAGGAAGTGAAAGGAAGCTTTGTGACAGAGAAGGAGACCGAGTGTTGATGGTGTCTGCATGCGATTACAAGCATGAAGACACCAAGAAGTTAAGAACAGTTCACTCTTTCTGTTTTATTTACCACATTGTTAATAACATTTACCCTTTAAGACCTACCATAAAACCCAGTCCGGCAGAGCTTGCTTTATATTTTTACATGCTGTAGTGCCATTTTAGGGAGCATTTCAAGTTGCTATACATCAATACAACTGTTATAGCCCATATTTTATAAATATGC